ATTTTTGAAGAAGTCAGATAAACTTGTTTTGCAAAAGTACATGTTGTACAGGGTGTCCCATAAATATTGCACCAAATTTTGAGCTCAAATTCTGTAGGTGTTTATAGCTTTTCTTCCGAGATTGCAGACCTTTCAATTCCCTATCCTCTTGTCAATGACCATGCCAAATTCCACAGCTTACCTTTCGTTGTACATCTCATGGTGCACCTAATACTCGAGAGGTCCTAATCTCTCATGCAGTAAGGACGGACATCCTGGTGATGAACATCGCGCTTCTTTGGATTTTTACCGCTCCACGGCCTACCGTGGACTGGATGAAAGACCAATGAAAGTAGTCTTTGTTGCGGCCGCCCCACAAGTTCTGACATCTTGGATCTCAGGAAAAGCATGAAGAAGCGAAACGACTGCAATACCCGGGTTGGCTCGAGAAAGGTGACCAGAACGCTGGAGTTTCTAAACACAGCCATGTAGAGAGTGGTCGGATAACAACTGCTCACAGTCCATTATAAGTTGCATAAGCACCACTGCTCAATCCAACGGGAGGAGCACAGCAGAGACAAAAAGTTCAAAGAGCTGGTGTCGAGGGCCGAAAATGGCGATCACGCGGGCACCGTTTTCATCGACGACAAAATTCCTCACATGGAGCGGAGCTACAATCTTCAAATTCCGGGATGCCCGCATGAGGTCTTAGGAAGTCAGTGAGAGTGAAAGGAATATTCGCCACAAGCAGCAGCCGAACCTTATCATGGTCTGGACGGGGGTCTCAACTACCGGTCGCTCACCATCACTGCCTGTTTACAAAGGAATACAACTTGATACTAGACCGAGCCAAGGGACATTTCGGTGCACCATCTGTTACTGAGGTATCTAGCCACTTTGAGGAGGGGTGATGATCTTTTCAATAGGACCCAGCTTCTGCATAGGAGGCAAAAATTGTTCAGGAGCGCTGTTAAGGCACTCTTTCCGATTTCACATCCTCGAACGAATGGCTCTCCTATCCCTTGATTTCAGCGTGCTGGACCATCCTATGTGGGCTATGTTAGGGGCAGAGCCTGCACTAAACATTGCATCCACATGGATGAGCCGGAGCCTTTTCTCTGCAAAGTTTCGAAGAGAACACCCCAGGATGCCATGCGGGCCACAGTAGAGTTGCGTTCGAAGCAATTGGGAGCCATACTCACAACAACAAGAGAGCATATCCAATGAATGTCATTCCTTTTAATA